GGGAAATAAATTTTCAAATAAATAAATATTTTTTTATCCCATAATAAATTTAAAAAATTTTAAAAAATTTTTTTTTTTTTTTTTAGTATTTTTTAAAATTTAATTGGATTTAGTTATAAAATTTAAAAAATTTATTTCAATAAAATAAAAAATAAAAAAAAAAATATTTAGAAAAAAAAAAACCTAATTATTTAAAATATAATATTTTTTAATTTAAAATTAAATAAATCAAAATTTATTATTTTTAAAAAAAAAAAAAAAATTTTATAAAAATTTTAATTTTTTTTACATCATTAATATTTTTTTTTTAAATATATTAATATAAAATTTTTTTAATAATTTTATATTAATAATTATTATAATATAAAAATAAATATATATATATTTATAATATATATATATAATTAATTTAATATATATATATTATAAATAAATATTATATATATATAATTTTTAAATATAAAAAAATTTTATATAATATTATATATATATATTAATATAAATTATAATATTATTAAAAATAAAATTATTTATAAATATTAATATAATATTTTTATATATAAAAATTTTTAAATAATTATATATATATATATATATTAAATATAATATTAATATAAAATATAAATTTAATAATATTTATAATATTTTAATATAATATTATATATATATATAATTATATATAATATTATATATTATATATTATATAAAAATTTAAAATATATATATATTATATAAAAATATTATTTTTTAAATTTTTTATTCAATATTAAAATAATTTGGGGAAAAAGAAAAACTTTTAAAATTATATAAAATTTTAAATTTTATAATAATTTTTAAATAAATTATAATATATATATATTATAAAAATAATATTTTTATATATATATTATATATAATATTATATAATATATATATTAATATATATATATAATATATAATTTTTAAAATAAAATAATATATATAAATTAATATAATAATATATAAAAATTTTATAATATATTATATATTAAATTAATATAAAAAATTATAAATATTATATATATAATATATTATAAATATATAATATATATAAAAAAATATTATAATTATTAAATTATAAAAATATATATATATATATTATATATATATATAATTATATATATATATATTATTTATATATATATATATAAATATAAATATATATATATATTTAATATTATTAATAATTATATATATAATATATATATATAATATATATTATATTATATAATAATAAAATAATTTTTATATATATAATATAATATTTTATATAAAATAAATATATATATATTATATATAAATATTTAAAGACAAAAACTTGACAAACATCACAAAAATAGAACAAAGTAAAACAACATGGGTAACTCAAGCTACATCTCGAATCTTCGTCCGCTCCCCCCTGCGGGGGCCGCGTGCCCAGAATGCTGCAGGGATTTTTCCCCTCTGGATCGCAACACTGATCTCTAAAGAGGGAAACTGGTGCCCTGGGGCCTTGGTTTCTATGATACTTTTCAAACACCCTCTTTTTGGGGAAATTTAAGCACACTTTTCCCCAGCTCCCCGGGGCCCGACCCTATTGGAATGAAGTTATAGCAAGGGGGAAGGGCTTCATATTTTCCGGATCTTCGGTCTCCCTTGGGGGGCAGCTCCACCCCCTTTCCCCTACAGAGTATGGCAAGTATGTCCCCGCCAATTTGGGAGCACAGGGGTTTTCCCACAAACACTTTTCCCTCCTTTCCCGGTAGCATAGTGGCTCCATCAGACGCATTTTACTTCCATCAACCCCTGCTTGGGGTTCCCGTTGAGCTGGCAACGGTGGGAGGCTTCTCTTTATTTTTCATTTATCTCCTCATGTCGGCATACTTCCCCTTTTGCGTTTGGCAACAACCAGAGCCGAATTTATCACTGTCGCCCCCCCGCAAAAACACCTATGTTTTGGTGAGAAGGGGGGTTTCAACGAAGAGCAACACCAATCCGAATGCCTGTGGGGCGAACGGTGCCCAGGGGGAATTGGGGAAAACTAACAGGAAATCTCCTGAGTGGTCCCTTCACTGCCGGAGACAGTTTGTTTTTTTCCTAAGCATTGGGGAGCATTGTGTTTGCGATTTTTTCCCCTGATCGTTTTTCCCAGTGGACTGTTTGTGCTTTTTGGGAGGACGGTCACTGGGGGAGTCTGTAAGGGGCCCACCGAATTGCTGCTTCAGTAAACCTGGGGTCTTGAGCTCCTACCAAGTCTCTCAAGCGTTCGGGCACTATCTTCTTGACTAATGCACTGGAAGCCAAACACGAAGACAGAAAAGCAGTAAAGCAACATGCGTTGCTTTACGCACCCCTATACCTCCCAGTCGCACTGGGAGGTTGCCTGATCCCATTGCTCATCCTCTAGTGACAGGTTCAGTGCCTTCTTAAAAGTTGATCTCAGGTGTGCATCATATTCATCAAGTGTTGGGTTGTCAAGAGGGTGCACACCTCAAGAAGTAAGTGAGTCTTGGCATAGTAAGACACCTTGTGAGGAGATACAGAGCATCATGGGCATCAAGATCGCTTATTCTCTCCTCCATTCTCATCAGGTCATTCAATTTGTCCCTGAGGACAGTATCGATGGCCTGGTGACCCAGCGGTGCCCCCAAGAGGGTACTGTTGGACGGAGTTGTAGTTGAGATTTCCGGGAGGATTCTTCGAACAGCATTGATTATTTCCTGGTTCGCTGTGATGATTTCACACTTAGAGGGATTGAGGATGAGTCCCAAGCCTTCTCCCTGTGTTTTCACCAGTTGTAGGTCCCCCACGAGGGACTCTTCAGTACCTGCCAGAGTGCCGTCATCCAGGTACCAGATATTGAGCTCACTGCGTAGGCTGGAAGTTATATATATTATATATATATATATATATATATATAATATATATATATATATATTATATATATATTATTATTAATTATTATATATTAATATACTGAGATGTTACATTAGTCCCTATCATAAGGATTAAAGTATTCTTGTCAGTGGTGAAAAGGTTAAATGCGACTAATCACCCTCTTAGTATTTAATAGGCTTTAAACCTCATTAAGCAAGCATCCAAGGCAAGATATTAAATACTATAAGTGTTCATACTCTCATAACATCACTCAGTAGAACACAATACTAGTCATACAGTAACCTCGTACACATGAATAAAATAAACACGTGCATTTATCACTACATTATTCGCTTTAGTCAAGGATGATGTATAAATTTAACACAAACATTCGTTCATATTAACAACTTAGAAGAACTCAGACGTTAACTTAATTGCTGCTCTGATGTTTCTCCCTTGTTAATGTGAACATTTCTGAATCAACACCCATCAAGGAAGGTTCCTTGATGCTGGTGAGGGGCTCTTGATCTAGGGAATTGGATCTGTGCTCCACTTCCCTGAATTAAGCCTGAATACCTTCCACATCCCCCACCCCACAGGCGCTGTATAATGCTACGGGTTTAGCGCTTCCCCTCCATTAATATTATAAGCTGAATCGGCAGTTCTTGCAAGTTTAACATTTATAAACACGTACATTATATATGATCCAAGGAAATTGTACGACCTTCGTGGGTTTAGCGTTTCCATATATTTTTTAAAAGCTCGAACCTCTGTTGGTAGCTAACATTTAATGTTAATTATTAAATTACACCTGACATGAATAAACAGAAGAATGGACGGGGACTCGAACCGTGGTACTACCAGTACCACGGTTCGAGTCTCATTCTTCTGTTTCTTCACTGGCAGTCGTTCATAATGATTCTCTCGAGTTTACATCTAATATCTAAGGAAAACATCGATATATCCTTTGGATCTGGATAAAATTTCAGCAGGAAAGTTTATTTACCTTCATGCGAGTCAGGTTAATGATGGTTCCCGATGCATTTTGTTATAATGGCATTTATTCAGAAATGTGGGGCTTCAACCCCTCTGCATAAAAATTTATTATATGCGCCTGGCACTGTACGAGTCTTCCGCGTTTACCATGTCCCTACGAATATTCTCGAGACGAGGCTGTGCAGCGCGGTACTATACAATATCAAGAGATCACTTAAAGGGAACTGGAGCTACCCTCTCTTTCCTTGGATCAAACCTTGTTACCTCCAATTCCTAAGGGCTACATGTATGACCCATTCGGGTTTGATGACAAGGATCATCTGACGACTTGGTCCTTCAGTTCGTCAAATTCCACCTTGTGTTATCCAATTTTCTTTTGCTTTAATGTTTTGTTTATACTTGACTAGATATGGTATAACCGAAAAAGTGTTTTTAAAGTTCAGTTACCTAACATCTGTTTCACAACGTAGGAGCTATTGTCCTGTCTAATTTTTTACCAAAGCTTAGTCCTAGCAAGGTACGGCTACTGTTACAAGCTGGGCAGCTGTTATCCTGCTTCCGTGCATTTTTAAGTCTAACTCGAGCACGGTGAAGTTATCTAGTAATTGTGTGTTTTACAAGCCTGGTCGTAGCAATAGCTGTTATACGACACATGGAACCAGACTTGGCTCTTAACCAGAGCATTCTTTTGGCTAGTTGACAATTTCTTCGTTGCGTACGGAAACTTGTTCCAGATGAGTCAGTCGAGTAATGAATTTTGCTGGAAAGATAGCTTTGAAAATGATACTCCAAGACTAAAATTGTTGTTGGCTGCCCGTCTTGTAATACAACAGCTATCTTTAACATCACTTTTTTTCTGAACTTTTGACATTTCCTTTTTCTTGCATATCTTACTATTTTTACTGACAAGGTTACTACAAGAATAAGAGTTCCTACAGTATATTTTACAAGCTAAGGGGTCTTATCTTAATTTATCTGATTTTCAGACCTCTTCCTCGCTGTATAATTAGTAGGTACAAGTTTGTCACATGTCTCGAAGTTAGCAGACGGAGGATTGAACCTCTGCTACTCCCTGGGCTGAATTACCCACAGGGATTCAGCGCGTAAAATCTTACTCTGTATATAAACATGTATTATGTAGAGTGGTCATCGCTAACCTGCTACTCTCTACCGCCCTCAGGTCGAGACGTCTTCCTCAGCCCTGATGTCGTCGTCTCTCAGGTCCAGTCCTGTCATGCCCACCCACGGCACACCTACCTACTCTACGCCCTCCCATGACACGCCCACCCACGGAAAACCTACCCACGCCCGCGGCACTATGACTCTCCCTTCTCCTACGAGGAGAGCCTTCCAGCCAACAGCGCCCCTGGCCATGTCTTCACCCATCCATCGTTGTCCCCAGGTGGTGGGGTCCTCCCCCAGCCGATCCCCCCACGCCTCTGCTACCATCTCCCCGAACCACGCCCTCCCCCAGGGCCCTCTCATTACCGCGTCAGACTGCATCCCCACGAGGGAGCACACTCCCACCTGCCCGTCCCAGCAGGGCACCAACAAGCTCCCCAACAACGCTTCCTGCTCAACCCAACAGGGTATGACCAAGCTCCCTCACAGCGCCCCTTGCCCACCCCAGCAGAGTATCAAACTTCCCAGTAGCGCCCCCTGCTCGTCTCCCTCACATGTCAAGGAGAACCCCAGCTTGGTCAAACAATCTCCCAACATTCTCCCATCGACAGTGAATAAGCCTAGCGGCTTCTCTGGGCTGCTGCAGGAGATGGGTATGATGCCTTTGAAGGAAGAAGACACGACAGACGACTCAATGGGAGAAGAGGAGGAGGAGGAAGAGGAGGACGATGACAACATGAACAAAGAGGAACGGAAGAAAAAAGCTGAAGAGGACAGCAGACGGCGTAAGGCAGGTCGTGGCGGGATGCGAGGCAGGACGCGGAGCCCTCAACACATCGCTCGCGTACGACGCAACCGACGCATGAAGGCCAATGACCGTGAGCGACACCGCATGCACATGCTAAACAACGCGCTGGATCGCCTGCGCACAGTCCTCCCCACCGCCCCAGACGACACCAAACTCACAAAAATCGAGACTCTCCGCTTCGCTCACAACTACATCTGGGCGCTAAGTGAAACGCTCAAGGGGTTAGACTCTCACACGCCCACCCACCCACAACACCTGAACCTTAGTGTGGTGTGAGTGGGGCCCCAGTCACTCCGCAACTCTCCGGCGATGTCAGTATGTACCAGGGAGGCGGCCTGGCGCCTTCCACCACGTACTGTGGACAGACTAGTGAGGCAGACATCTGGGGGACGGCGAGTGTTAGTGTGAGCGGCGCCTTCACCCCAGTTCCTGCTCACCAGCAGTACGTGCATTACCCCAGCCTTCCCTATCAGTGCCTCTGAACCTCTTCAGTGCCTCAAACCCTCTTGCTGTGCCTCTCTATTAGTGCCTCATTACCTCCATCCCACCTAGTGCCTGAAGAGTTTTTCATCTAGCATTATATATCATAGTGGAATGTTCACTGTCTGTGTTATAACTTGCACACTATATATGCAAATATACACACTATATCTTCACTGTAATACGTCGTAGCGCTGAATAACCTTACGAATTTAGCGCTTTTCTTGAATTTAATAATTAATGTTCGATGTCTTTCACACACGAAGTATATATCGCCTCACTAGAAGACTAAACGAATTTATTAACCCAGGATAGTACAAGAAAGCCATCGAGGTTCTGTCTTACTCATTTTGCAACCCACACATGTGACTTGTAAATGGTCCAAGTCGGACCCAAACGCCTCATGAGCTTCTCTCTCTTGTGTGCCGGTTATTTGTGTATTTCAACCTACAGTAGTCGACTAACCCCTAGTTACATATCTACTGCTAGGTAAATAGGGGCAGCAGGTTTAATTAATAAGACTTGCCCATTCATCTCGCCTTACCAAGGATTTGATCTTGGGTCATATGGTTGTGAGCAGAACACTCAGTTCATGAGATACAAGACGCCGAAACAATTTTTACAGATATTTGGATTTTGTAACTAAGATTCCTGATAAACCTGCATTTGTGGTGAGAGCGGACCAAATTGTAACTTTCCCAATGGTGTATAGAAATATACCTGGTTGGATTATTATTATTAGAACCAGCTGGCCTAGTAGCTAACGCACTGCTTTGGTAGTGTCTCGTGATTCAAGAGAATTGGATAGACACCCTCCCAATTTTCGAGGCGCTGTAAAACAATTATGGGTTGAGGCTATTACTGTATCCAGGGTAATCTTAACCCGTACCAGCATTTCTCGAGTAATATCCTTCCCTTAACATCTAATCCGTTCTAAACCAAACGTCTAGATCTTACAATTTTAAGGAAATTTCTCGATATGCTATGGTCAGGTTTGATTACCAATCAAACCATATCATAACGCCAATATATAGTGTGTCTTGTGGACACATGAATAATACATTATAATTATTATTTATTATTCCTGGAGTAAATAACATATCAACAAAGGTGTGAGCGCTGGCTAAAGTTTGCTCAGTGACTTTTCATAATTTATTTTATTTTTCATGTCGTTTAGGATAGTTTATTCCTAGCGATAGAGACCAGCACGAATAGAAAACGAAGATCCATAAAGCGGACCGTTCAATCATACTTCTATTCCAGTGTCACAGGCACACATTTGATGTTCTTAACCGACATGATAAACTTAGCTCGATTTAGGAGGATGCGCTACAACACAACCACCTCCCCTCTGTCATCTCTCACTTCTGTCGTGTAGCTGAATTATCCTAAAGGATTTTGTGCTTTCCATGACTCAAATGTACCTGTATTAATGCCATTCCCACAAAATATTAAGATTAAGGAATTGGTTCAACGAGAATCTTAGGATTCATTATTTATAAGGAAGGAGTATTAGCACTGCCTTCGCCTTTCACATGCTAGTCAACGCAGTGCCTGTTTTAGTCCCTGGGAGAATATGGACCCTGTAGCTTCGCCCAGGCTAAGCTCATTTAATTATCGTTTTTTAGCTATGTTCGTATGATGTAAAGGAGTTTCTACATCATTCCCTGTGTTCCAGGTATCCTGTGTGTTTAGGGTATTAATTTCCAGATGCAATTCTGGTTTCTTGTTTTGCTCAATTTGTAATTCATGTTCCTCAGTTCGTCAGTGGAGACACGTACTAATGATGAATTACTACTGACCTTCAGCAGGTGCGGGACTCTTGATCAAGGAATTTAATCAGGACTGATTACTTGCTATTCCCCAGGTACTGTATGACCCCGACGGGTTTAGTACTTTCCGTTATATGTATACAAAACACGTAACTCGAGTACAACAGGCTGGTCGACCGTTCTACTCTCATGTCATAATCGCAGTACACTATTGCAATTGTATATTTTTACTTTGGTTTACAATGCACGTCTGTTCCCTTGATTGTGTTTGCATCATGTGTTTTTTTTTTAATTATCAGTCAAAGAACTGTTTACACACCTGCAGCTAATTTACTTAATTAGTACTTATTATATATTGTAATTTATTGAAGTGTATGACCCGTGTGTCGCAGATGCTGGAGCTGTTTACGTAGTTACTGACAAGAATTAGACAACGTGTGCCACATCACATAATTTGGACCACCTGGAGATTAACTTCCCCTCCCTTTTCCCGAGAAAACAGTTCAGTATAGTTATGCAAATTTTGTCAATTCTGTTTTTCACTAAAAGTAACGTAATTGTTCTTCAAGAGGACCAAGTTGCACCTTGAAGCTGGTGGAGGGTTCTTGAGCCAAGGAATTGGAGCTATCTATTACCTTTTGAAATCAGATTGCCTCCCATTTCTAAAATATTATAAGTTTACCCTATAGTTGTTAAAATTTTAAAGTACAAAAAATATGTAGCCTATCTAAAAATTTGTATGTTTGTTTTACAGTTACACAAGACTGGAAATTGTGGATTGAGCACGATATTCAGGTGGTCCTGTAATCTTAATGTATCGGTCCATTGGTCCACCGACCTGGACCAAAACCCATTGAGAGTCACAAAATACATGGCATGTCGCCCGCCTTACAGCGACTGCCTGTACACATGTACATAAAAACCATGGTTGAGATATATTCGCGAGTGTTTAGTTACAAATGTTCGTGTTCGGTGACTACATAAAAATGAGAATGTATGCAGCAGCGAGTATACATGAAGGTGAGAATGTGCTATGATGGTCGAGTGTATACAGTATTTTTTATCAAGTCTGGTTGTGACATAGACAACCTGAGTATGAATTCCAATAGCAAGAAACTGGAGTGCTCACACTCCTTAAATGCACAGTATATCACTAAAACAAAACAAAAACTTATCTGGAAAGGTAATTAAGGAGAAGCTGAATATTTCGGCTTGCATCTGTAGCTCTCTTCTACAGATTATTATTATAATCAAAAAGAAGCGCTAAGCCACAAGGACTATACAGCTCTCTTCTACAGAGCGCAACAAATTAGGACCGAAATATTCAGTCTGACTTCGTAATTAGTTTTCCAGCTAATTAGTGAATTTGTATTACATTGACCAGTACACTATTGCACTGTTCTGTGCAACGAGTTCAACATTTACACTTCGTACAATTAATCGCTGAATGACCCATATGGAATCAGCTCTTCTGCGTGAATATAATTATAAATACGTGTAAGAAGCAGGTGTTGTTCCTGGGTTCACTAGTCTTTATTACTGACATCACAGTTTCCGATGTCATTATCCTCGTGTATAAAGTGTACATCTATATTTTGTATAAGTTTGTATATATTGTAGTTTTATAATAAAAGATAAAGATATGAGCTGTGTTTTGGTTGTCCCATGAAAGTATTATAACTGGTTTTAGTTTTTTGTGTGTTAATAGTAATAACCTAAACTAGGTAAGTTGAACTTAAATGTCAAAACTTGAAAAATGAGTACACACACACAGGGTGGGACGAGAGGTCATGGATGGAAATTAAGACACAGCTTAGCCACAAGAACAGAGATGTATGACCCTTGTAGGTTTAGCTATTAATGAAAATAATGAGCCACAGGGATGTGTGGAAATACTTTTTTTTAGTATTAGGGTGGTAAATGGAATGAGCTAGATGATGAAATGGTAAACTCAATACACAGTATCAAGAGTAGGGATGACAGGGGTCTTGAGGCGGGGAACCAATAATGCCGGCGATTGTGGCTTAAGATCTTAGGCGGGTCCAGAAGACTCGACCCCCGAAAACAGCTCGGGGAGTACACACAAATAATACCCAGCCCGGGTTCAGAGTTCGTAAATCTTGTCTTTCCAAATCTATTGAAATTTCATCTCAAACTAACAGGAGAGGGAGAAAGAGAAAGTTAGGTGGATTGTTATTTCTTAGATTACAAGAAAGCATTTGATACAGTACCCCCACATGAGACTGGAGCAAAACCTTGAGGTGGAGGCAGGAATAACTGGAAAAGTACTTCGGTGGAGTGGTTTAGAGCTTTTTTACTGTAATAATAACTTCGGCAGAGTACGAAGTTGGTAACAGTAACAAGCGGGATACCGTAAGGATCGGTATTAGGGCCCGTACTGTTTCTGGTTTGTGTGAATGATATTCCAGACGGGATAAAGTCATATGTATCCCTGTTTGCTGATAACGGAAAACTGACGAGAAGAATAAAATCAGAAGGACAAAAAGGCTGCAAATGGATCTAGACAAACTGCAAAATTAGTCAGATACGTGGTTTCTTGAATTCAAAATCAGCAAATTCCACATCATGAAGATTGAGGAAGAGGCCAGAAGACCGGATACGGAGTATGAACTCTGAGACACAAGCTGCAGATGTCACCCGCAGAGGGGTAAGCTTAGTGCTTACCATATAGCCAGAGGCTCAACCGAATAATCTCTGCAGCCAATGTTCGCCTGACATGAATCTCAACGTGTTAGGCCCATCTTGGAGTATGTGGCACCAGTATGGAACCCACACCTGAAGAAGCATGTTAAGGAACTGGGGATAGTGCAGACGTATGCAGAAAGGGTTGCTCCAGAGTTAAGAGGCATAAGCTATGACGAGACACTAACTTAGTTGAATATAAAAAGGGAGGACAGTAAAATCGGAGGAGACATTATAAGAAAATACAGAATCACAGGGAATTAATAGCTTAGACAGGGACAGGATATTTGAGAGAAACGGGAACCCGAATGCACAGCTGGAAGTTAAAGACAGATGAGCCACAGAGATGTCATGAAGTATTTCTCCAGCCTCAAGGTGGCGGGGAAGTGGAATGAATTCAATGGAGGCAGACTTCATACATAGTTTTAAGAGCAGATACGATAGGGCCATAAGGCTAAGAGGAAGTGATCTGGCAAGCAGAAAGTCAAGAGGGGCCAGAAGCCTAGAACTCGAACCCCATCAACCACATATAGGTGAGTATATATAGGTGAATACACATACGTGTATTTGTCGTGCCTAATAAACTGAATTTACTAAATAAGCCGAACTCCCTTAAAAATTAAACTTTTCCAAAACATTATTTTACAGAAATTTTGATCATTTTTTTAATGACAATGACAAAGATTTTTATTTTTGGACCAAAACTAACTTAAACACTTCACCTGATCTCACTTTAAACTGAAGCTTTTTTTAAGATAAATTCTGCTTATATATATCATAGGCCAATTTTAATTTGATTTAATATTACTTAAAATCAATTATATTTTTATCGTAATGCTCAGATTGAATTTCGCAGTTATGGCAGCAACAAATTTTCTCTCTGCTTATTCGGCAGAGAACTGCCTTTCTTTTTATGCTAAACTCGGCGATTCGACACGGAGAGAGACACACACACACACAATATGGTACAACATTAACACTAACAAATACTATTACATATTAACCTACTCCTTTGATGAGAAACCTTGGTGCCACTGAAGGGATCTTGAGCCTAGGAAATAGAATTATCCTCACTTTCCTTAATAAAAACCTGCTTATCTCCCATTCCCAATTTGCTGTAATAATGGCAATAATAATAACTAGACTTGTTTCGGATGCTGCGGGATCTGAGAGGTATCCCTGTATAACATAACCTCAGCCACTATACCTCATTGATCCAAGATAGGTATCCCCTGCCTCAACTGCCCTATCAACCCCCCGCAACAGGCAAAATACGAATGTACTTTCAGAACCCTCAACAAGCATGGAAATTGCAGCTCAGCTCTCTCAACATACCTAGAGTTATATCTTAACCCCACCAAGAGGTCCAGGAGCTATAGTTCAACACATACAAGCGGCAGAGGAGATGTAGAACAATTCTGTAAATGGTCTGTGATCAAAAGAAAAAAAAAAATATTGGAGTTGCCCTCCATTACCTTGAATGAAACGGGAGTGTGTCCCATTCCTCAGGTGCTATATGGCCCCTACGGGTTTAGAGCTTTCCCGTGAATAATAATAATAATAATAATAATAATAATAATAATAATAATAATAAATGGCTTTTAATGCGCTGTGTTCCTCCAGTTTTATCGACTCATTTACTTACGTGCTCTTAACTCGCAACTTTAATGGTAGTTAAATGAGGTTTGTAGCCTTGCGTCTGCACTTGGCTGGTTCTTTGAAGTGTTGAACAGCGACCAACTGTCTCTATCACCTCCTTGTTATTCCCTCAGATTTATTCCAACTGTGAAAACTTTGTCTTCCAGTATCCCAAGTTCGGCAGAAAGCTGGACAGATGTATTACCTCCAAAATCTTTTTGTAGGTACTTGCTCACCTCTAGGGTAATATCAGTATATAATTTCCTATAACTGCCTGTAAACTTTGAATAAATATAGGTTACTCATACTCGTTCCATCTTTCAGATTATCGCAATCTTTTTAAACTGCACAAAGATATCGGTGGTCCTTATGAATTTGGGAATAAACTTGTTCTCAGGTTCTTTCTTATGAATTGTGATGACAATGTTCAGCACTGCTTGTTCATTAAGGGGATTCTCTTGATGTTAGTGAAGAGTTCTTGATACAAGAAAATGGAGTTGCTCTTCCCATCATTGCAATATATATGATTACCTCCCATTCACCAGGCGCTATGTGATCCCCTTGGATTTAGCGCTTCCTATTGAATATAATAATCTACCTTCAACTTGGTTTCTTTAACAGTCTTCAGCATTTTTGTGGTAGGCTTCCGTAGGACGATGAGGATATTGTCACGCATTCCAGTGTGGGTTCAGTAGCTACGGCAGCTTCAAACGTTTCTTTCCAGCTGGGTTGGAGTTACCATCACCTGGGAATTATCATCTCTCAGGATGTCCTATCCCACAGAAGGCTTAATGAAGTCCAACATGGGAAGGTGTACGCGGACGGTGTCTTACCCCTCCCCCTCGGCCGTAGGTTGGGTTTCCTGTCTTCAAGGGACGAGGTTAACACTGACCTTCCCAGAATGCCGCCTATTGTGCTGTGGTGGTCAGAGCTTGCCACTGACCGACCGACGACACATATCGTAGGAGAGTGGAGGGGGAAAAAAAAAGAGAGGACTAATTCGACGACAGTGATTTATCTTATAACCCTGTCAACCAGTATCCCCCCCAAATCCACACTCCTGTGTTCATTTATGCCGAAATCTTTGTAGATGTTAATCAGCCGCTTAACACTTGTTTATATAATATTGTAATTTCGTCCATCTCTAAGATATATATGAAATGTTGACCATCTACATAATATAACGCCTGGGTTGGGAGTCATATATGAAGGGTGACCATATGAGTTGCGAGCTGGTGACATCTCCCCCGCTGGTCTGAACTATTCACTGCCTTCCCCAGGTCCTTGTTAGGTCTCTAGCTCTGGTCCCATGGCCGGCTCCTGGCCCTCACCTTTGTCACCCACACCTGCCCCGCCCAGGACGCCCTCATGGATGCACCACTCACTATCAAAGACATGTTCTCTTATATCTGCCTTCAGAAGCGATACTTTGATTCTGGTGAAATGCTCTAATTCAAAGAACATTTCCTACAAAAATAGGCTGAAAGCACTGAATTTGCATTTTGCAAAGGCGTAGAAATAGTGGAGATATGATTGAAGTATACAAATGGTAAACAAAAATAAAAAAATGGGAATATAATTAGAATTGAAAATGTCTAACCAAGACAGAACTCACAGTAATGGATTAAAGTTAGGCAATTTTAAATTTAGAAAAAAATATATAGGGAGAACTGGCTTGACAATAGAGCTGTCGATGAGCGAAACAAACTTTCAGATAGCGCCAATGAGGCAAGAACTTTGGGTAAATTGAAATATAGGTTGGACAGGTTCATAAGCGGGTGTGAATGGATGCGAGTTAACCTTTACTGCACAGCATGGGCCGATAAGCCTACAGCAATATTCTTTCATTCTTGTGCACTTGTGCTCTTCCTTGGATTAAACCTTATCTTTCAGGATTACCTTTACAGGTTATCGCTTCCCATTAACTCTAATAATAAATCTACGAAGCTAATTTCAGACCTAGGAAGGAAATTTCCTCACTCAGATTCCTCTTCAAAAACAGTCCCAGTACTCTATTAGTTAATGACAATAACCATCTCAAAAGTCGCGGCAAAAAAACACAGCGTATTATATATTAATTAATACTAACATTGCTCCGTGTTGAGACGTCACTGATTGACATTTCTGAAAGATAAACCTCCCGTTGGTGTTTCCTGCGTGAACGTCTGAGTAGTGCATGGTTCACTATTC